CGAACATAACCCCAGAAGTCACTATCTCAAGTATGCTTCCCCGAGATGGGTACTTGAACGTCGTAAACATGGCCCAACGAAGGCTCAAAAGGGACTGGAATAGAGTGAAGATAGCCTAACATAGCCCTAGAAGTCACTATCTAAAGGTAGTGTCTGCGAGATAGGGACTTGAACGTCGTAAACTGGAATAAAAAACACCCCCTAACGTGGCCAAACATAGCTTTCATATTGCCTGACACGTTGGGCCATGTTAAATCCCTATCTCGAAACATGGAATCTATGCTCGGCCACGTTGGGGAGGGGGGGGCACTTCCGGGGCTATGTTCGGTGGAAATATTGGCCCCTTCCATGCGGTGCGGGCGGTTACCGTCGCGAAGCGACGTGAATACAACCCATTTATATAACCAAATGTTCATGGTGCAGTGCCATAGCTGCTAGGTCTAAAAGTGGTAAGAAACGCTGATGATCCAAGAGACTCCTCCGGTGAAAGCTGAAGGCCTCGCAGGACCAGTAGGCCTCTGCGGCCACGCCACAAGTCGACCAATTTGCGCCGCACTTTGGGCGCTTGAAGGTCCTGTTTCGAACGGATGAAAGGAAGCCGGATAAATGTTTGAATGAAATTACAGCAAGCTATACTGGATTCGTTCTGCCCATTCTCTATATTCCAGGCTGTTAAAACGGCTTGCGTGTGAAAACGCATGCAAAAGTATCAAGTCGGACACTTAGCAGCTTGCTTTTGAAGAAATTCACCCTGTCCTGAGGCTTCAGTCCCGTCACCACGGCTCCAAAGCCGTTCGAGCCTAGCCTGGTCCAGCGCAGACCAGGTCCCTGAGGAGGGCCAGTGAATCGGACGTGACTCATCCCTGCTCCCTTGCCTCATGTATCTCGATGTCTCATCCCAAAGACTAAGAAGCATTCCAAGAACACTTCAAGCTAGAACTCAGAAGAAAACTTGATTCTTGATGGCCTGTGAAGGCCAGAAGCCCTGCACCCAAACGTTTTGCAAGAGTTACAAAAGCTAGGAAGCTTAGGGTTTAGAGTTCCAAGCGTTCGTGGCAATGATATGTGGGTCGGTCATTCATGGACCATCTTAGAAGCTTCACTCAAGACTCTCGCTCCTTTTCACGAAGAGATAAGTTCCTCACCTCTGGCGCAGGCAGCTTCCCCCGCAGGCGGAAAGTGACTTTGCATCCAGGTGCCATGAGAACTAGGCGACCAGGTGCATATGTGTTTTGCGTATACATATACTGATATAATATTGTGTGTTTTGTATATTATATACTGTATACTAATCTATGCGTATGTCACTATGTCCAAATATGCTCAGGTTGTGGTGCTTAGTGTAGGTTTCCATGGTTGTAAGTTTGCATGTTCTGAATAAGAAAAAGAAATCATACATCGGAGAGTTAAAAAAGAAATGACAGGGATCTGTATATAGAGGTTTGAGATTGAAGAGGCTTAAAGCTTGGACACACCAAGCCTCCATTGACTGGCATTCCTCTTTTGAAGCTTACAGCTATGCATGGGCATCCATCTACATCCAAATCTAAATCGTCTCAATTTGGGGCCGTGAACAGCAGCCTGCAAGACAAGTACTGCTCCCCAGCATAGTCCGCATAGTCTAGCTTGCATGCCTATGAGAAAACTGTGGCCAGTCAATCGCTTTGTGAGCAACACGGAACAAGATTTCCCGAAAAGAAGAATCATTGCACTCCTTTGTGAGATTGGACGAAGGCTAAGCTACTCTGCATTCGGCTATTGGGACCTGTGACAAAAGAGGTTCGGACATGTTGTGACTGCTCTGATTTCGTGGAGAGAAATCATCTTCGACCATGTGTCATTTGCACACATTTAAAACAGTGTCTTTGTCCTCCTTCTTGGGCTAGGAAAATGACGCCGACTTAGCACTCATTCCTCATCCTCCGTGCTATGGATCCGGCTCCAAGGTGTAGGTCCTCGACTGTGGATTGGACAAGAAGGAATCCATGCGATCCATGCAGCTATTGAGTCCTATTGAATCCATAGTGGAGTCTATAGTATATAGAACAGTCTATATATATATATTATATATATAGGCTTTTGATGGCTTTTGGGGGCCACAGCCTTTTGACCAGCTCCACTTCACAACCACTCTTCATCTGGAACATCATGCCGCAACAACAAACCACCCATAGCCACCATGAAGAAACTCACCGTTCGCTTCGGCTTCGGGACCCATTCGCTCCGTGCTTCGCTCGCTTCCATGGCCATGGCACCCCATGTAGATCTCCGCAGAGCCCAGGCTGGATCCACCGACCTTCGTCACATCCTCGGCCTGGTCACGTTGGGAGGTGGTCGTGAGAAGCACTTTGAGGAAGCACATACAAAGTGCTGAAAGTGGCCATCTCCGGTGTCAGGCTGGTGCTCTGATTCTTGGCAGGGCAATTTGCAGGTGATGCGCTTTTGGTCTGTTGTGTGAAGCTCAGGACGTTGAAATGTAACCTGCCTCCTGGTTTCCTCTGCTCCAGAAGTAGTCAGAGGCGAGGTTCAAAGTGATGAAGGCCGTCCTGTCTCAAAGCTAGAGGACACGTAGACACAACCAACAGATAGTAGCATGCGCGAATGGCAGAGTTGAGCTGGTTCAAGATTGAGAACTTAGCCACATCTCAGAATAGAAACTTCTGACATACACGGTTCACGCATGTTTGCCAAGTTCATGAGCCTATGGGGCCTAGAAGGTCCCTGTGGTCATAGCAGACATGTGTAGAACGCATTCATAGTTCGCTCCAGCCAAGCAAGACGAGGTCGCAGCGTGCACGTGGCCTCAATGGGTTATTCAGCTCAGCAAGGGCAGATTCAGCCAGATATTATCGGCAAAGCGTTTGACGGAGAAGTAGAACAAAAAATGAACAAAATACATCAAGGAAATAGATTTGAGACCCTTCTCACAAAGATACTATCCTGTTGACATTCTGGATCGTCCCTTTACTCCACCTCCGCTTGCTAGCTTTAGACTGACACAACATAACTCTTCATGTCCTGCAGAACGGATCTTTCTCTTGAGAGCTGTCAACATTCCTTTTGTTCGCTGTCCCTCTGAGACCAGCAGCTGGGGCTGCTCCTCCATGCTGAAGATCCATGGCTCTTGAAGACAAGGAATGGGGACATTCAAAAGTTGGCAGAAAGGATCAATGATTGGCTCTCTTTGCTGGCCAATGGCTAGTAAAGGGTGCTTTTCCTTACTTGGCCTTGCAAAGAACGGGGGCTGGCAGCTTCAGCTCAGGAGAATGTTGTTTCATGTGTCAAGCAAGACTGGCTTGGAAGTGCATAGAGTCAGAGTGTAGATTGCATTGTTTCTTGTTTGGATAATCCAAAATGAGGCTTCAGGAGCGCGTGTAGAACCAAGGATGGAAAAGGCACTGCGATGGTGCCACAAATCCAATTTAGTAACATTGTGGAAGACATTTTAGGTAACTTTTCCAGCTTGGGTCCTTTGCACCTTCAAATGTCCCACACTTCAGTAGATCTGGATGGCCCTTTCTTCCTGGGCAGCACCGGAAACTCCTCTATTGTTCCTGGTGCGCCCAACGCTTCTAAGACCTAAACCTCACTGTATGAGCTTTCTCTTAGATCTATCAAGTCACACTACCACAGGGATGTCTAAGGGGGATGCAAAAAATGGCCCAAAGTCACCAGCCTCAGCAGTTTCCGCAGCTGGGCACAATGCCAGTGCCCGCAAATCCTCCAATCGCTGAAGCTCGTTGGAGACTCTTTGATTCACGGTCATTGGCTGGACGAGCTAGATTCGGCCATCAGAACATTCAAGTGAGCTATACCAGAAGCCACCATCAACTTCCCCCACTCTCCGCACATATCCTGTGCACCCACATACCTTGCTGAATCCTAGCTTCTGGGCGAAGTTTCGGAATCATGATTCTGAATCATTTTCTGAAGCGTCGTTTGAGTCGTTTCTGTTGTTTTCTGAATCGGAATGTGTTCAAAAACAGTGCTCCAATGAAACAATCTTCAAGTCACAGATCTTTGCTGTTCAGTTGCATTGGAACAAGCAAGGTTCGCAGAGAAATGCACTAAGCGAGCTCTCGAAATCAGCCTCTGATGCCAACATGGAACCGTAACGCTCCAAGAAGACATGCATCTGGCGGCTGGCACTCTTCGTCACCTGCAACTGGGCGTTCGAAACCACCGGTGAGAACCACTGCTGATGACGTTAATTTTGCATGAATCAAGAGGCCTTTGCTTGAGAAAAATCCTGTCTGTCAAGCGATCTATGAAAGTGCATTAGTCAATAGCCATCTATAGATCTATCGTCACAGCCCGTTCGAAGCCTGCTGTTAGACTGTTAGGATGCAAATAAATTCACCATCCCGATCAAAAATATTGTGCCCGTTACAAATCGAGCTCATCCCAAAGCTGATTTCCATCCTCTGCCAATTGCTGTTCTGCGCTTAGGCGCTGCTCCACGAAGTCTGTACCTGATCAATTTCCGGTTCAGCGGAAACATTTCAAACATCCAATAGACAAAAGGCAATTACCTAAAGGAAAGCACCACTGCGCAAAGTGGTATTGAACTCCATCAACATCCGACCCACTTCGCATGGTGAAGCTACGAGAATATGCATTTTGTGACAAGTACCTCCAGAGAAGGACTTAAACAGGTTTGCACTGGTGTAGCTGCATTGGAAGCCCTTGACACAGGCAGGCTTGATGAATTGTATCAAAGCAAATGGTTCAAGCGGCTCCAGAAGTTCGCATTCAATCAAAGTGAACTTCATTGAACCAATGGCAACCAGTTTGGCCGCCCAGACTTATTGCTGCCCCTTTACAACTCCTAAGAACTTGCACACAACCCAGATTCTCCTTGCAACAAAGTAACCGTTGAACTTGATTGGATGCTTGAACTTGCTGGCAAAGTCCTGAGTTTGGTTGACTTCAAGGCAAACCGACGTTTAGACTCATGTCAAAAAATTTGGAGGGGAGCATGCCCCAAACTTAAATAACGACAAAAAATTCAAAGAACTGTGGTGAATTTCCTAAGAAAACCGTTACGGAGTTCACGCTACAAATTAATATCATCAAATTGAATGGCCACCTGCTCGTGCATTTCAATCCGTTCGTTGTTCAAACAAGCGGGACTGGACTTCAGCCAGGTTTCAAGATCATTAAGCCTTTACAAAGCAATCTACTTGGACAGGTTCATGGAATTCATCAATCCAAAATTTGCGTTTGGATAATTCCTGGAAAAAATCCCAGGGACAAGCGTGCTGAAGCGCTTGCCAAGATGCTGCGTGTTCCATGACCCGCTTGACTGCAACCTCCACCTGGTGGCAAACATCTGTTTGATTCGTGGTGAAGCACCTTTAATCCCAAGACAGATTGCACCTCTTGGTGCCACCTGCACCTCCCAGACTGTGGGCATACGGCATATTGGAAAATTTTGCCAAATTTTCTCTGATTTGGCCATGACTGGCACATGCATTAAAGCACGCCGAAGGCACAGCAGCATCCATCGCGGCCATGGCATCCAGTTCCAAATTGGCCAAATTTATTGCACTGCTGTTTGACTAAAAAATGGAATTTCGTGATAGGTGAGCAAATGGTTCGTGCGTGAATGATGGCAACTCAAAAAGGAACGCAGTCCTCAATCATGCAATGAAAACCGAAGAGCGTTTCTTGCTCGAGCCCAGAATCGGAAAACACGTCGTGCAGTTATGCGAGCAACTTGGGTCAATCTCACATGTGGGTCAACTCACACGAAAAACACAAAGCTGGACTTGTAGTTGGAGAGCAAAGTATGCAGAAAGTTTTCGACATAGATAGATTAGATTAGATTTGCTTAGATTAGATTAGATTAGATTACATTAGATTACCTTAGATTAAAGTAGATTAGATTAGAGTAGAGTAGATTAGTTTAGTTTAGCTCAGCTTAGCTTAAATTTGATTAGGTTATATAGATTCATTGCATGGATTAGATAAGACCGACCGACGGACGGCACACAGACAGCCAGACAGATAGATAGATGGGCACCTTACCTCTTTCATCAGCATTAGAAGCACTCTTCCGATTTACGTTGGATGATCCGCCAAGCTGCACTGGGGGTGAACCCCTGAAAAACCTGCTGCCTCAAGCAAGTGGATTGCAAGCGTTAACACAAAGCGACAGCTCACGAGCTTTTGCGCACCTCCAGTCCTCAAGTCTTGAGCC